AAAAGAGATGGATTTTACACAATTCCTAGAGCCCTTATCTGGGCTGTGCTGGTTTAAGATCAAAACACATGAATATAGGTCTCAGAGAACCATGTACTGACATTTTGTGGGCAATTTGTATTTAAAATGTACAATAAAAGTAGGGAGTGATGGCATAATATCAGTGCAGGAAGCCTTTGTAGTTGACAAAATATTCACCACTCTTTTCCAACTCAAAAAGATCAATCTTTGTTGCAGCTTCTGAAAGGTGTGACCATTGCATCTGGTGGTGTTTTACCAAAAATTCACCCAGAACTCTTGAAGAAAAGAAAGGGTGGCAAGTTGTATACTCCGGAAGAACTGAAGGCAAAGATAAAAAAGAAGGAATCAAAATCAACTCCCAAGAAGGCAGCCACACCAAAAAAGCCTGTGAAAAAAGAGGCATCAACTCCAAAGAAGAGTGGCAAAGCAGCAAAAAAAGATGCCAGCAATGATTTAGGACCAGGATTCACATTGCTGTCTGAGAAAACATTGTTCTTAGGACAGTCTCTGTGTGTAGTGCAAGGAAATATTGCAGAGATTGATGTTGATGCTATTGTTCATCCAAGCAATGCAAAGTTAAATCTGGCAGGAGAAGTTGGTAAGCGAATGCAGTAATTATTTCTATTGAAATCATAGAAGCCTTTTAATAATAACACAGGTTGGAATTGCACAAAGTCTGATTAGTTTAACTTATTAAATAGCATTATACTGACATTATACTTGATATTAACTTTAGGTAATGCACTGAAAAAGGCTGGTGGTGAGGCTTTTGAAGAAGAAGTGAAAAATTTGGCAAAAGATAAGAGTCCCTTGGAAGTTGCTGATGGTAAGCACAATTATTAGTTTAGATTGGACATTATGGGGAAATATTTGTGTTCCCTGCTACACAAATTAGCCAAGAAACCTTAAAAAATTTAGGAGCCTTAAAAGCTAGTTTTGGCAGAAGGTGTGATGGCATGTATTACTCTTGTAAAGATTATTTTTAACAAGAATTTTCTTGTTATTTTAGCTGCCATTTGCCAAGGACATGGTTTTCCTGCCAAATTTGTCATTCATATAAACAGTCCAACTGCTTCCCAGAAGGATGCCCTGGCGAAGATTGAAGAAGCTGTGAAGAACGTTCTCACTCTTGCCGATGAGAAAAATTTGAAAAGTATAGCTCTGCCATCAATTGGAAGTGGAGCGTAAGTAGATTTTTTTACATCACATTGAAGAATTAGTCTTAGATATGTTATTGTTTGATAAATTTTTTGTTGGTTAAATTCAATGCATTCACTCAAACCAAAATGCCATTAGTTTACATTTGGCCTTCTTGTATCATTACATAAAGAGCTTAAATATAAAGGAATATTTGGGTTTTCAAACCTTGTATTCATTGTGTAAGCTTGTTTAAAAAGGTACTTTGTATATTTACAAAACCGAAACCGGCAAAATTAAAAGCTAAGTATAAGTTTTTAATATGATATTTAATTGCTTTTAAATTTATAGCATAAAAGCCTATAGCATAATTACAAAATTTAAACTAGTTTAACAAAGGATTATGAATGACAATAGGTTACAAATAAATAAAGCGTAGACTGTGGATTTGATTTTAGTCCAGGTCATCTTAACCACATGTGAGATCAGCTGGAATATCTTGCGTAAATTGCATAAAGATATTTGTGCATACATGGCAGGGGATTTTCCTCTGTTAACAACAAAACATTGGTTGTTGATTATGTGTATCTGGTTTTGGATTCTTCTTCCTCCTTGGAACAAGAACTTGACAATTCATCGCCAGCAACACAGTCACCCCTTACCTCGCTTTCTCCCTTGCAGAAAACCTGACTTGAAAGCAACCATTGTGCAAACAACCTTGAAGACGATCTCCGATTACTTTGTCACTGTAATGGCCTCCTCTTTAAGACAGATCAAATTTGTCATGACCAAAATGGAAGATATTGGAACATACACCACAGAAATGGCCAAACTTGATGCTTGATTTAGCAAACTTGTGTACAGTCTATATACTACATTATTATTATTATGTCTTAGTTTTTACCCTAATCACTGTAATTTTTAGAAATGGTGAACTCTATTGCTTCTTATTGACAATAGGCATTATATGATATTCCTCTGAGAATAATAGCTGATAAAGGTTTTATCTTTAACATTTTTTTGTAGAGGTTGACATTCTGTATACTTAGCCTACATTTTTATTCACTTTGAAGAGAAGAGATCTGTGTAATGCCAAAATCTTATTTTGCAGTTTGTGTATATAGCATTAAGTCATTTTTTCACTTTATTATTCAGAAGTAATTTTAAATCAAGTTTAACACATGCTGATCTGGTGATTCTGTAGAATGCCTGAAATTTCATTCAGCAAAAACCTTGACTATTTTATTAGCGGATCCCCAAATAAAATGTTCTGCCCTTAAAAGATTAATTAATTACAGCTGACCTTTCTCAACTGGCACTGGTAATAATTCCATGTCCAGTAAATCCTCAATCCGGGATTAGGATTAGAGTTAGGATTCAGTTTTTATGTTGATTAGGATTAACCCTACCTAATCTTAAATCTAATCCAAAGTTAGTCTCAAAGAAAAAAAATGGTTTATTTCTAATAACTAGGCATGGAATTTTTACCAAAAACGGATGCTTAAAGTTTAATCCAGGTATTATTAATATCGGGTTTTTTCTTCGCAAAATCTAAAAACTACAATATCTGAAAACGTAGCAGACAGTTATAGTTTTGTCAACGTTTTCTTTCAGGAATAAACTTCCAAAGCAAGCCACTGCAGAGGTGATCCTTCGAGCTATTTCCGACTATTTCGTCTCTGTCATGGCTACCTCGTTAAAAGTTGTCTATTTTGTCCTTTACGACAACGAGAGTATTGCTGTTTACACATCTGAGTTGGCCAGACTGGATGCATGAAGCATAAAAAACGTAACATTCGTCTTTTAACAATTAATTTGATGTCATATAAACCATAAATATTTGAATTATTGTATTACATCAAAGTGATATGATAGAGAAATCCGCCGATATAAACTGAACCGTGAGTATGAATTGTAGATTTCTTGATAATTTTAGTTGAAGAAAAATAGTCTATCGTAAATATTGTGATATTTAACACAAAATTCAGTGTAGCAAACTCGGTATAATGAAATTTATTCATCAATACAGTCCTCAGTTTGTTTCAATCTCTACTCGCTAGCATTTTATAAGAAGAATTATTGAAAAAAATCGTGGAAAGCAAGAATACAAAACAATGGAAAATTTAAAACAGTGCAAAGTTTTACAAAAGTGGAAGCATAACTTGAATATTTTGGCGGGAAAAATTGCGGGAAAATCGTTGTTTTAAATCCTCTTCAAGATGGCGGAACAAAATTTTGAAAATCTTTTATCACGTAGTGGACGACAAGTGTTCTTGGGCGACTTGGAAAGACGTCGGCCAACGTATGTACATATTTTTCTCTTCTTTCAGCTTAGATTTATTCAGATCGCAAATAAAGTAACTATGTTACCTCATATATTAATAATATATATTTTCATAAATACTAATTAGTAAAGTTTGTCTCAGACATATTAATTAAATGGGGGAGAAAAGCCTTGGTTCAGAGCGAATAGATAATGATTGTTCAGAGCCAAGGCTTTTTACCCTGGCTAACGTTTGCCAATTATACTTTAAGTTGATTTCAATCATTTTATGTACATTGTTGCAAGCCGATAACTTTCTGTAGGGGCCAATTATTCTTAAAGGATGAGTCTCAGCTGTCTGAGTTTGTGATGCTAAGTTTACGGTTTCATCAATTTACAGGCACCCGGACATGGTGATAGATACTTTCCCGTAATGGTGATAGATACTTACTAACTGTAAACACAAAGTATGACGGTTGAGGCTCATTCTTTAAGGTACTCTGATCAGTCTGATGCTGACATTACCTAAATTTCAGATTTATTTAATGCTACAGAATCCTACCCCTAAATCACAGACTGCCATAAAGATGCATTTTATTAAAAAATATACATCAAATTAAACTATAAGGTATAAACAGCATCCACTTATGCCTCACAAAGTATGTGTCTCCAATTTTTGTATAATTAACAATCATACCATGAGCTTGAGTCGTATATGAGCTGATAGGTGCACTGAGTCAGCTATGGTAACACCGAGTCAGCTATCAGCCATTTACAAAGAGAGCGAGGGGTACAATTGTTTTATAATAGCGAGCGACAAAAGTATTTATTAACAATTTAATACATATTTACATATTCTTAATTTACCTCAGCAAACTATTCAGCCATTTTGCTTTTTTTGGCTTTGCTACCCACTTATATGAGCTGGTATACGGTGGGTAGCTCAACCAATCAGATTGCAGAATAGCTTGTATACAATGAGTATTGAGATATACTTTGTATAACCATCGTATGGTTGCCGTAGTAATGGTAGAGAAGCCAATGCAGGCAGTGTATTGGCCAGAAAGTTAATTAACATGTCAATCATGGACCAAAATAATGGTGGACATGTAATATGATTTGCTTTGGGAAAAAGATACAATGTTCCAACATAGATTTTTAAGCGCAGTTTTCCATCACATCTGTATGCTCAACTTTTGCAAGCAAATTATGCTTTGTTTTGCATGCCTGCACTAGCAGCTTTGGTGGAGGCAGCTTTGCCTAAAGCAAACATGAAATAAATGTGCCTTTTTTTGACCAAGTGTGTCAGTGGATGTTAGCTTTGAACTGATATTATTGTTAGTCAGATTATGTAATTTTATGCATATCCATCAATAGTGATTCCTATTTTGACCTAAAGAGGGATTGAAAGTGTGCTTACAAAAGCTATCAAAAGTTTTTAAAAGATGGTAAAATATTTTGCAAATTTGTTTTGTGATTGTGTTACTGATGTAAAGCAGCCTCATACCGAGGCGCTTAAAATTCATCATTCAACCAATTGGTACAATATTTTTGTGACAGTCCAGCAAGCTTTGAGATGAGAAAGTCAAAGTCTATATCACCTTTTTATTGCTAATAAACAAACTCCAGGATTTGCTGATGGTTATTATGAAACATTTGCAATGCGAGCATGTGAACTAATAAGTGTTTGGTGAGACGCCCAATGATCGAGACTACTAATTTTACAAACTATTTTCCCCAGAGATTAAAAAATGTTATCAAACAACGAGAAAAATTTATTTGGAAACTTTTAGCAACATTTCAACAACATAAAAATAATAGTCTACATAGTATGTGTAATCTTGTTTTAAGTTGTATATAAAAATCGAAGGTAAGGACTAATTTTACAAACGTTTTATACATCTCGTTTGACTTGAATATTTACGAAGTTTTTATTTTATGTAAACTACTGAAATTAGCATTCAGATATAAGTTGCTGGCGCTTACATGATTATTCCGGCTAACTGCTAAAAACTATGTGTCAGACGTTTTTTCAGTAATAATATTAATATAAACAGTGAATGAAGGAAGGAGTTACGACTTAACAAGATGCTCCTTGCCATACAGCACATTGAATGAGTGCACAGATTGCGATCAAAATCAGTGACAAGTTGGTGTTATCGCTTGAACCTACAATGGTCGAGGTCGAACATTCAATCTTGATCTCATCCAGCAAAGGCTTTGCTACATTTTCCCAATATTCGCCAAGAACGTCCTTGAAAAGTGGGTAGTACTGCTTCAGGTGTGCGATGCTTGAACAGGTTGGATATGGAACAGTTGCGATCTTCAGTGTATCATTGTATTCACCGGAGAGAATATACGTAAAAAAGGTAATTCTAAACACCTTTATTCCATATTCTGTCTGCAAAAGCTCTTTTGTTTTGTTTTTGATAAATGACGGTAGCTCGTTACTTTCTGCTTCGTATCCTTTCGCGAGTAGTTTCCAGTAGCGGAATATTTTCCAGGCGTCTCCTTGGTACCAATCCTTCCACTGATCACGTGGAACTGGGATTCTGATCAGCTTGTTGCACGTGTCATTCACACCAGACGCGGTAAAGTCTATCACTACGCCTCTGTTAGCGACAGCGTCGTCGTAGTAGGCCAGCGAATTCGTAGTGTACTCCAGGTTGGTAAGGTTGCCGAAGAAAGAGTTGTTCCAGTTGGCCAAATCAATGTCCTCCCCATCTCCTTCTTTATCACCGATATGAACGATCTTCAATTTTGCCCACTCTGGTGGACCTTTGCAGTATTTGTCTTCCCAATGTTTCTTACAAATCTCAACGATTTTGTTTGCGTCACAAGGGCTGTCGGCGTCGATGTCGAGAGTTTTCCTGCCGAGGAACTGGTCACGAACTGATCCACCAAATGGTATACACAGACAGCCACCTTCTTTGAGTTTGTCAAGTACATCCTTGATGGTTGTTTTCCCAAGTCCCGGTACACGAGCCTTTAACGCCTTTTTCATTCCTTAATTAAATCAATTTAATATTCAATTTTTATTCATATTTTATCTTTAATTAAGTTAAAAAATTCTACTGAATTTCAACAGTTGCTCTTCTTCAGGAAAAAGGTACAAGCAATTGTGCACAAAGGCCGATTGGTGTGCGATTTAGTAAGCACGTCTTCCTATACGAAGCAGCAAACAGACATTCTGGTAACAAGACTTAAAAAAAAATAAAAGACTGCTATAATGTTCAGATGTTGAAGAATAGCTGCAGTTAAAGACAAATGATCCGGCATTACTAGGTGTTTTGTAAACATTTCTTCCGTATTTAATTTTAATTTTCCTGCGTCACCAAAGCAACGTCCCAAGTGTATGTGTTCCGGGTGAACAACTTCCATAAAAACTTTCTTGTTTTGTTTTCTTCTGTCAAATCAGCAAGAAATCTAACAAAATGTGTACCTTGAGTGACGTCGTTTGACACAAACGTTACTGCTGGTGGACGATCCCAAGGTTTCGGATTTCCATCGTAAGCTATCGTTTTTGGGTCAATTTCACAGTAGTTGGAACAAGCGCCAGTGCTTCGTTTTGTGCGAGAGAATTGGGTTTCGCTTTCTACCCCCTTTTTCATAGAGATCTTTAACCTCGCGAGTGTGGCCTCCGAGAAACCTGTGAAAAAAAATGAAACATACAAAATCTGATATCAAAGGTTCTGTTTACTTATTCCAAAGTTGTGCAGAATATGAAAAAAGTCCAGGAAATATCATTGTCATTATCTGCATCTTACCTAGAAAAAAGACCAGGATAGCGAGATAACTTCTTAGATTCAAAAACGTGGACATGCTGAACCCAAAATCCACTCACTGCGAAATACAATTTTCAGATGGTTTTATTGAATTTTATAATAATGCAATTGCACTCCATCATGAAATACCGTCAATGTGAAGTGTTGCAATGTTAAATGTTAAAATGTTAAAATCATATTTCTTACCTTTGTTTAAAAGTTTCCTGAGCTTGCAATTTGACTTATTTCCTGTTCGCGACTTGACACAAATAAAGAAGAAGCGTCAGAAGCGTTTTACTGTATACATTTGGTTGTCATGTATATTATATAAATTTGCATTCAGACACCTGCTTCCTAGATACACCGACACCTTCTATTATTAGCATAGTAAAAAAATCTGGATACTGATTGGTTGAGAGGAATACAGCTATTTTGTTGTATACTGCAGTACAGCTTTGAAATGATTTTTTTCAAAATAAACAAAATGGCGGAAGGTTTTTTTGCATACAAATTAAACAAACCTGGAGGAACAAAAAGGACCAGAAAAGTAAACGCAAATACTACCAAAAATACAAAGTTATAAATGAAAGTCTGACAAGACTGTATTTTCACAAGAAACTATCAATGCATGTTTGCTTTGCCTTTGGAAAAATGTGCTCGAATTATTCCTTATTCAATTGTCACGTTCGCGATAAAGCGATACAAAAAGTGTAGGATTTTATTTTTTTTGACAGGACACAACATTTGTTTTACAAGCGTTATAGTGTATACATTTCCTCTGAGTGAATAATTAGGAAGTTTATATTATCATGTAAATTCTATAAATGTGCATTACTGCATTATACCTCATAACCGGGATTATAGGCAACACCTGCTTTCTATTACTAACAATGATTTGTCACGTATGAAAGCCTTAAATTCGGATTAGAATATATTGTTAGCTAAATGATGAAACATGCATGCATCGATTTCTGTAGTTGTTTCAAAATTTCTCAAACTTGAGCAACGAAAGGGAAAAGTCGAAATAATGCAGAATTGTGTATTTTGATTTTATCGGAATTGTTAATACAGACCTTGGATTCGGCCCACTCCAACAAGGGGGAATTTCGTTTTAGACGTTTGAGTTTAGTACTTAGTAAAGTTATGTCTCAGACATAATGAAGGCAGAAAGCCTTGGTTTAGAGCGAATGGATTCAGAGTCAAGACTATTTAATCTGGCTAACGTTTACCAATTATAGCTTAAGTTGATTTCAATCATTTTATGTACAATGTTCCAAGTTCCTTTCTGTATGATTATATTATTAAACTAATTAAAGAATGAGTCTCAACTGTCATGCTTTGTGATGCTATGTTCACAGTTTCATGAATTTACAGGCACCCGAAAATGGTGATAAATACTCACCCAAAGTAAACATATAGCGACACAAAGTATAAAGGTTGAGGCTCATTCTTTAAGGTACTCTGATGCTAACATTACCCAAATTTCAGATTTATTTAATACTGCGGAATCCTACCTATAAATCACAAACTGTCATAAAGATGCATTTTATAAAAAAATACATTAAATTTCATTTTAAGGAATAAACAGCATCCACTTATGCCTCACAAAGTATGTCTCTCAATTTTTTTATATAGTATATATTACCATTTTATGGTTGCCATAGTAATGGTAGACAAGCCAAACCAGGCAGTGTATTGGCCAGAAAGTTAATTAACAGTTCATTGACTGACCGAAATAATGGTGAACAGGGACATGTATGTAATATGATGTGCTTTGGGAAAAAAATTATAATGTTCCAACATGGATTTATCTGTTGCTGTATGTTTTTAACGGCAGTTTTCCATCACATCTGCATGCTCTGCCTTCACATTTAAATTTATGCTTTGTTTTGCATCCCTGCATTAGCAGCTTCGGCGGAGGCATGCAGCTTTGCCTAAAGCACACATGAAAAAAATGCGCCTTTTTGTGACCAAACGTGTCAGTAGATGTTAGCTTTGAACTGATATTAACGTTAGTCAGTTTATGCAATTTTATGAATATCCATCAATAGTGTTTCCTATATTTTGTCTAAAGATAAAAGACTGAAAATCATTTGCTTATCAAAGCTACCAAAAGTTTTTGCAGGATGGTAAAATTTTTTGCAAAAGTGTTTGTGATTAAAGAAAAATCTATTTGGAAAGTTATCAAACATAATAGTCTACGTAATATTTGCAATTTTGTTTTAAGTTGTCTACAAGAAGCTAACTTATTATTACTTAATAATGACTATTTTTACAAACGGTTTATACATTTCGTTTGAGTTGAATAATTACGAAGTTTCTATTTTGTGGAAACTACCAAAATTTGCACTCAGATATCAGTTGCTGTATGTTTATATGGGGTCTGTACGCTTACAAGATTATTATTCTAACTGCTAAAAACTATGTGTCAGACGTTTTTTCAGTAATAATATTAATATAAACAATGAACGAAGGAAGGAGTTACGACTTAAGAAGATGCTCCTTGCCATACAGCACATTGAATGAGTGCACAGATTACGATCAAAATCAACGACAAGTTGGTGTTGTCGCTTGAACCTTTGACGGTCGAAGTTAAACATACAATCTTGATCTCATCCAGCAAAGGCTTTGATACATTTTCCCAATATTCGCCAAGAACGTCCTTGAAAAGTGGGTAGTACTGCTTCAGGTGTGCGATGCTTGAACAGGTTGGATATGGAACAGTGGCGATCTTCAGTGTATCATTGTATTCACCGGCGAGAATATACGTAAAGAAGGTAATTCTAAACACCTTTATTCCATATTCTGTCTGCAAAACCTCTTTCGTTTTGTTTTTGATAAATGATGGTAGCTCGTTACTTTCTGCTTCGTATCCTTTCGCGAGAAGTTTCCAGTAGCGGAATAGTTTCCAGGGGTCTCCTTTGTACCAATCCTCCCACTGATCACGCGGAACTGGGATTCTGATCAGCTTGTTGCACGTGTCATTTACACCAGACGCGGTAAAGTCTATCACGATGCCTCGGTTATCAACAGCGTCGTCGTAGTAGCCCAGCGAATTCGTAGTGTACTCCAGGTTGGTAAGGTTGCTGAAGAAAGAGTTGTTTCAGTTTGCCAAATCAATTTCCTCCCCATCTCCTTCTCGATATTCACCGATATGAACGATCTTCAATTTTGCCCACTCTGGTGGAGCTTTGCAATATTTTCTTTCCCAATGTTTCATGCAAATCTCAACGATTTTGTGTGCATCACATGGGCTATCGGCGTCGATATCGACAGCTTTCCTGCCGAGGAACTGGTCACGAACTGATCCACCAAATGGTATACACAGACAGCCACCCTCTTTCAGCTTGTCAAATACATCCTTGATTGTTGTATTTCCAAGTCCTGGTACACGAGCCTTTAACGCTTTGCTCATACCTTAATGAAATTTATTTTTACTACGGATTCAGGTAGACCGCTAATTTTTGCGCAATGACGTGTATAGGCGTGGCTTTAACGTTCTGACATTTTCAGCATTCTATTTTAGTCACTTTTGTTTGCAAGGTTTGAATTTTGAACATAAACATTTAAGTCTTGCCCTAGAAACGTGAGAATGTCTGCCTGGAAACGTCATCGCCCAACCGTTAAGATTAAGGGGGACAACTATTCACAACGGTCTACCTAAATCTGCACTCAAGAATACAGTATTTCAACACAGTTACTTTCACGAAAAAAAGTACAAAGAATTTGAAGGCCGAATTTCAAGGAGCTGTGCATGCACTTAATATTTATGAATCGTCGAGAAAGAAGTAATCTTTATATACCTGGCTCCTAGAATTTAAAACTTTCCTTTCCTTGAAATTTTTCTGGGCTCGAAACTGACATTGTGTTTCATGCAAATATGCTGAAGTGTATATAATACATAATATTTTAAGAAATATATGCTATTAGTCCTTTAGTCTAATTCTTTTCCATGCTCCAACCGTTACATTGGTGGCATTCGTTACTAATTGAGTTAGTTCTATTATTAATTTAGTGTGTGTTTAGTACTGTTTTGTAATCGTCTGTAATCTATAAGTCTGTAACCTGTAATCAGCGGCTGAAATCTATAAGTTAAGTATACAGGACAAATGTATACCTTGATAGACGTCATTTGACACAAACGTTACTGCTGGTGGACGATCCCAAGGTTTAGAATTTCCATCGTAAGCTATCGTTTTTGGGTCAATTTCACGGTAGTTGGAACAAGCGCCAGTGCTTCGTTTTGTGCGAGAGGATTGGGCGTCGCTTTCTATCTCCTGTTTCATCGCGAACTTTAACCTCGTGGGTGTGGCCTTCTGGAAAGCTGGAATAAGAAATTAAAAAAAGAATATGAAACATACAAAATCAAAGCTTCACTTTACTTATCTTATTGAAAGGTTGTGCAGAATATGAAAAAAGTCCAGGCAATGTCATTGTCATTTTCTGCATCTTACCTTGAAAAAGGACCAGGATAGCGAGATAACTTCTTAGACTCAAAAACGGGGACATGCTGATTGCTGAACGCGAAATCCAATCACTAAAAAACACATTTTCCGTTTGGTTTATTGAATTTTATGTTAACACAATTATACTCCATCATAAAATATCATAAAATTGAAATGTGAATCAGACAATGCCTAAGTAAGGTTGGTACAAGTCCTTTATTAAAGTCTTTAATTATCATTACACTAAATTCAATACATAAAGCGTAGGGGAATTAACTTTTGGTGATTCGGTATTTTATTATATCGAATTTTCATTCGAAAAGAGTTCTTGTAGGTTTTTGATAATGAAAAGTCCTTGAAATTTCTTAAAGTTATGGTCGGAGTCATTGCTTATAAGACAAGGTGCTAAAAGTAAAAGTTCATCTAAAAAAATTCGATTTTTATGAAACTGGTCTGTATATTATTGGAACCAGCCAACCAGGAGACGTTAATATGAATGCTGCAAATACTTACTCTGTCATAACATAGCAATGTGTTTCGTTCATTTACTGAAATAAGTTTTTTATAACACGCATATATAATTATATGTATATTACAGCCTCACATCATGACCGTACATATATATATCAACATTCCAAGAATGTGCTAAGCAACGCTTGTGGCTCAGAACTAAAAATTTCTTTGTTCCTTTTGCACATCCTGTTTTTAAAAATGATTCAGAATCAAGACAGAAGAATAAACCTCATCGGGCCATTTGAAAGATAAAGGGTTAGGAAATATCGGAATTAAATGCGAAAATTCCAGAATATATATGGTTGCTATGGGTGAATTTGAGGTA